GGACGACAAAAAGCAATCCTTACAGTTGCCTCTTCTGTAGGAGTTTAAGACTTTTGTCTTTCCCCCAGGGCCATCAATCTCCTGGCCCTTGCTTAACATCGTAAACGGATTCAGGTCGCTGGTTGATTGGACCCCCACCCAAGATACGAGAGAGCCCGGGAGGAATGAATGGTTCCCTGGCACTGAATGGGATGGACGTTCACAGTCCCCCAACCAACACAATAAGAGAATGAGGGAGCTAATCTGCTTGTGCAGGCAAGGACCGCTCGGCTAGGGCGCTAGGAGGAGCAGTGATATTCATTGACGTGATTATATGTTCTTCGACATCCGTAACAATCGAAGCTCTGCCCTTTGCTTCGCCCCCTGTTGTCTCCTTCCAGTTGCTCAATGAAAAAATGTTGTAGTCAACCCGTTCTCATTAAACGAAACACTACCATACACGTCCTTCATTTCTACTGTCGTCCGCATTTCTATCCACCCGCGCATGAGATCAGATCGACTACTCTACTACCATAATGCCGAAGTTCTTCAAGAGGATGGAGAATGAAGAGCGGGAACCCTCTTCTTCCTTGCTTTTTTCGAGAAGAATCAAACCGGAGACGGGCCTCCTAGGTAGGTTTCTGGGAAGGAAGGTGTTTAAGAAGACTACTATTCCACACCACAAATCCTTGAGAGTGATGTTTTGGAGCTTTTTGCTCAAGGGGATCAGCTAATTCTCTTAGGAATCTTTTTTTTTTTAGTTAGTTAGAAGAAAGCCCGGGTACATCAAACGTCTTGAAACTTTGGTAACCACTTTGTTTGAGATTGCGAAATCCAGAATGGTTCCGGGAGCCGAGGGAAGGAGGGGAGATGTTCACCTTTAGATTTGAAGTAGCGCCCTTTGAATCTTAAGTTGTACTAGGAGAATAAGCAAGCTATCGAAACGACTCGTTGCAACCGAGTTCCCCAACAGCAACTTAGCTTAGTAGCAGAACTCTTTCTACAGCGTGGTGCTGCTGGATGCTTCTGATCAATAGAATAGGAAGAGGAGGAAGAACAAGAAAAAAGCTTACGATGAGCATCTATTTGAGTCAATTATTTCAAAGATTTAATTCAAGTTTTCTCTTATGTAGTGGAAACGCCTCACAATCTTCAGTTTTACATTAAGGTAAGAAATGTTCTTGGTGGATGCAGGACACCCCAAGAATTTGTATGCAAGAAGAGCTTATAAGAGTGCCAAGCAACTGAGCCGCCAGGTTTGAGAGTAAGATGGGATCCACAAATGTAGTGGCTGGTGAATCACTGATCCAATAGCGGATTTTGGAGAGATTCTACATCGATCTAGTGGTCGGTGAATCACTGATCAAAGAGCGAGCAGCCACTAGGTTTGAGAAGAAGGTGGGATCCACAGATGTAGTGGCTGGTGAACCGCTTCTTCTTCTTCCACGAAGATTTAGACAAAACCGAGCTTTGATGGAACTGAACAAGATTTGGCGAACGAATAAAAAGGTTAAAGGCTTTCTTCTTGAGAGAGTCAAAGGTATTCAGTAGCAATCGCAGATTTCATTATTTTTCTTCCATTCCATCTTTTCATAAGTCAAAGGATATCGAATGATCGATTCACAATTGAGAGCATTAATCCAAAAAGGACTAATATTGTGGTGTGGTGTTCTAACAGCGGCAGTTCAAACAAAAGCTTGATGAGCCCTGCTTACAAGAAAAAAGAAAGAGAACCAATTTTCAATTCCGAAGCTTAGCGTCTCCTGATAACACTCTACCACCTTAATCCATTCATTTTAGGGTTAAGCATAGATTCCAGCCCTATATTTCCATAGCGAAGAAAGGCTCTTGTTCGAATGCGTGACTGTGGCGTGCCTGTCACCCCGGCACTATAATTTGGTTGGGGCCGGCAAGAAGACTGCGACTAGGGAGACGAAGAATGGAATTGAAGGCATAGTCTCACATAATTGAACACCAACCAGTGTGTTGGTGGAAGTCACTTAGGAATTTGTCTAGAGTCAAATTGGTCTGAAACTTGCTTCCTAAACATATCTCATAAGTCATTATAGCTATTATTATTAGTGAACACGTAGAAGCGCCTACTGAACTTATTAACAAGCACCACCACATCCTCCTTTGCTTGGGTGACTCGCTCTATTGAGAGTCCGAATAAATTCCTGATCAGATCTATAGGATTTTGTGCTAATAGTGGTTTTGTGGCTTGTAGTGAACCTCGTCAGCTTCTGCGTCCAGTTCCCGATCAAAGTTAGCTCGGCCCTTCCAGCTTATATATGATTCTAGGATCTCTCTACTTATCTTGCCCCACGCCTTCCTAATAGCCAGCCTGAAAGATTTTCCATTGCGTAGTTTCCAGATGATTCAACACGTAACTGTTGGGATAGTCGTCCACATCCTCTTTGTCAGGTCTCCTCTTCTTCTTCTTCTGATGCTGGCCGCTTGACACAATTTTCCTTTAGATTGTCCTCCTGATACAGTGTCTTCCGCCACAAATCTTGACTCCATCTGCAATCAAACAATAGATGCTGGCCTCTTTCGATCTCCCTAATAGTCGGCAATAAAAGGCCCATGGAAGCCCAATCTAAACAATCTGTCTCCTGTCATGTCAGGTTGATTCCGTGCAATGTTGCCTATCTGAAAGTAAGGATCCAGGGGTAGTAATGGAGTTGCCAGATTGTTTGAATTTTATTCGGTCATCTGTCTTTTGGTAGAGAGTTCTTAGTAACCAGCATCCTACCTTGCTCGAATATTCGCCTATCTCGGTGGACGGGTCGTAGGCCATTGCCTCTTCCTCATAAGAGTCACGCCATTGGCTGGGTTGGAGTTCTTTAAACTTCTTTTGTGCAGTTATCGATTGCAGTAGAACCTGCTCTTATTTCCATTTACCATCTACAGTTAGGACCTTAGGAAGGATTTTGTCCTTCTTTCGACTGTAATGTAACCAATTCTCTTTTAGATTCCATCGCTTGAATTTCTTTTTGTCCCATTATCGAATTCTCTAGCAGGTCAATGCTCCTACTCTGTTATTCTTTTCATGGCTCTTAAGATGTTATGTTGTTCCTCCATACCAGTGAAGGCAGTGTAGGCAACGAGCTTTGCCCCGACGAGTTTTGTCGTTAGCTAAGTTATGTCTTGTTAAAGCCAGCAACCGTAGGCGCGAAAGCCAAGAAGCAAGGGTGCGTTAGCGCCGTGTCCAGCATCTGTTTTCTTGCTTGTCTTCGCGCCGAAGTGCATTTGCTGGTTTGCTATTTCACACATAGTTTTCTTCGAAGCTAGTGCGCCCAGCAAGAAAACGTATGTGTTGCCAAGCAAGTGAAGTATACGTAACGAGGCATTAGAGCAACGGCTTTTTCGCTTGCGCGTAGCAAGAAAACAGATGCACAACCGAGCGAGTGAAGTATACTACACGAGGCATTAGAGTAACGATTTTCGCGCTAGCACGCTGTCTCTGCTTGGTGTAGTTTTCTTCTCTTCAACAACAAGTGCTTTGACATTGCTACCACAGGCAAAGCTCGTTGCCTACACTGGCCTTAGACGCCGCATAAAGGGTTACACATAATTATAGATATATGTATCTACTTATATTAGTAGATGGAGGTTCACCGAAAGCCAATATATCTTAGGCAATTATTTAGTTTCATATAGCCCGTGAGATAAAAAGGTATCATAGGTAGTAGACTTAGACACACCTATAGTGACCCGAATGATTGGCTATAGGTATATAGGGTACCTTAGCTAGCTATAGTAATGGATTGCGCCCGTCCAAGCCCATAGTTAGGTTCGTTGGTAGCCTTAATTTGATAGCGGTACCATCCTTTCGTGTTTGCCCTTAGTTTATCTATTGGGTTCCTTAGTCTAAGATAGCACCATATGAAGTTCGCCTTTGGATCTAAGGAAAGAGATGTCTCAGACTCTTTGTCAGTTACTTGAGAAAAGAATTTTGATGAAAGTAATCAAGAAGGAAATACAAGCAATTGCGAGGAAGATGAAAAGGGAAGAGGATGAGAAAGCTATGTCCATTGTGAAAATCTAGACTAGATAAGGAAGGATTTAGAGTCAAAGAAAAACAAGAGGCTATTTTCTAATAGGCTGCTATCCAAGCTTACTTTATGGATAAGCTATGACACTTCTAAAAGAAAGTGCGATCTTGACAACTCAACTATTGCATCAATGGCACTAAACTTTGAAAAAGGAACAATTTACGCTAAGCATGTATTGAAAATAAAAGCTATTCTATCCACATGCGAGATCATAAATCCCTTTCTCCTGCTACTCAGATCACCACCCATCCCCAACTTAGTACAGCGCGAAGGTGGATTGTTAGAGTCAATTCAGGATGTGAAGCAAGCGCTTACTCAGACAAGAGTCAAATGTTTACGTATCATTGACCTCCCTAAGGTGGCACACTCACAAAGGATAACTATCCAAACTAAGGGCCCGATTCTCTCATGAAAGAGAACTAAAAGGGGGTGGTTGAAGAGGGGACCAACTCCAACTGGGCACTTACTCCAAACACCATGGCCTTTCAGA